AAGTGGTCAGATGGCAGCTGCGAAGGACAGCTGGAGGAGTCGAATCACAATTTCGAAATTTATGCAACTCGAACCCGACCGACTTCCACTCGCTAGATTAGCGCGATTCCCTGTCTTGCAGGTGCGTCCCCGCAAAATAAAAAGCACGATGACCTAAACTATATTTTAAGAATTACACCTGTCGATTCGTTAGTGAAGCTACATGTTATGTCTCATTACGGATTTTACAACCGAAATAATGTAGCGTACACGCAGAAAATTTTTCTCGAATAATGTAGAATACTCATAATAAAATTTACTAGATTTGCTAGGTACCGGTAAGATATACGCGTATTCAACCGGAAATTAATATATGACAATAGAAAAGTAATAGTTTGATCAGATACATCTTGTAACCTAAAGGTAAATAAATTTGCCATACTAACAAGGAAATATGAGAACAGTAAAAAAAGTCCCATACTAGTATGTGTATATTCGACGTTGTAGCTTGAATTGCCAACATCACATGTCTTGGATTGAGCGTTGTTTTTTAAGACAGTATAGGAAAAATATAATCTAGAATGGTACCTATTGTGAACTGTATAGAAATATTCGTTGCGTATCTGGCAATAGTCTATGTTCTTCATAGAAATGCGATAGTAACCGCGATCGTGGACGACGGAAGGCGCGCGGCGCGAGCGGCAACGTGGGCTCGCGCGGCGAGAGGATTCGGCTCGCGCCCGCTACGCGGCGCATCGCCGGTACATTCTCGCGTGATTAAAATTCAACATCGACCTTTATATCTAGGGCAGCTCGGCAGGGTCCTTACAGCGTTCTTAAGTTCGCACGTGGCGGACAGGTGACCGCCACAGCCTATAACGGCAACTTATTCAACTTATGTTTTTTGACATGACTGCAACAGACATGTTTTTTGTTCATCAGCGATATTCGGAATAAGACACAATCGGACAAGATATAATTGAATTAAACGTAGTAAAACGCGCTCTCGAAAGTCCCATACTTGATGGAAATATTTACTTCTGCGTATAGTTTTATTTTTTGCTCTCTAAATTTTCCTATACTTTCTTGAAATCTTTTGCATATTATGACTATATCCTAGCCGTGCAAGATTAGTATGGTATTTACTTTGTTCGTGTATACTTGTATTTACGAGAAAAATTTTCTGCGTGTATGTAAAATTAGACTGGATAGCAAAGGCTGCGCCAATCGTTCGAATTCATGCATCAATAGAAACAGGTTAAATCATAAATCTTAACCTAATGAGTTATAATAATTGTGAAATTAAATACAAGTATAGCGAATGCGTTGCCGTAATGCGTGCGAAACGAATGGCAATTAACAGCTTCGCTACCGACAAAATCGTATCTAGACATCGTTTCTCGTGGGCTCGCGACGATTTCCTTCTCTCGATCCGATTGCTTCGAGGGAGCAGCGGAGATTCCGTCTTTAATCGAAGCGGCGAGAAGAAGCGTCTCTTCGGCGAACGAATTACTAGGGATCGTAATAATCGGCGGCTTTAACTCGGGCTCCCGTTCGCCGCGGCGTGCTAATCTTCAGGTGCGACAGGGCCATTAGACGACGCTACTGCGATAATAATACCGCCGTCACCGTCGTTGTCAACATTGTAATGCCGGATTTACAGTTGTGGCCATTAGACGGCGAAGGAAATTACGAACGCTCCTCCTCTTTCCAGAACGCGGTTTCTTATCCACCGCCGTTGATATCCCGATTCGCCATGGCTTATCACTCCTTGATGCGACAGCTTTTCGCGGAAGTGAATCTTTTGCCCACCGCTGGTTTCTCCTCTCTTCCACAGGATGGAGGGGGGGAGGGACTTTGATGGGACGACTCAAGGCCGTCGTTCGCGCGGAGTTTAGCGACTTCTCTCTCACGTCATCGTGATTATGACTTTTCGCGACGTGCGAGGAGCTGCGGTACGCGATACGATCGCCGGATGTAACGGTGCCCGAACGTGTTTTCCCGATTAAACGCGCGTATATATATATATATCTGCGGCATGGAACTGGTATAGATAGTTTAACGATAGCTCGCTCGGCGATGAAATCGATACGATCTCCGCGGTCTTCTCTCTCACGAATGGAACGCGACATTTCCAGATATCGTTTCACGTTTCAACTATCTTGTTTTGAAAAATTCTGCCTAATTACATTTCTCTTAACGCGCTAAATCGCATATATTAGCGAATGCGCGCGAGTCGCAGCTAGCGCGAGGATCAACGCGCTCCTCCGAGCCGAGCGGAGAAATCGTCGCGCGGAACGATAAAACTCGCGAGATATAGCGACGTCGGTCGGAGATTAGATTGCTAATTGAGCAGAGAGGAAATCTCGAAATCGCGAAGCGATCGTCGACCTGCATGTGCTCCTATCGTGCTCGATAACCGTGCGCAATCGTGAAACCGGCTATGTCGTGGCGCGTGTCCTTCTCTTCTTTGTTTAGCGGGGGGCATCGTGCAGGGAGACACATTAGCTTTACCTCCATAACAACCAGTAATTAGAACGTAGATAACAACTCGATCCAACAGAGAACGATCATTCGTTCTCGGTCGCGCTCGTATTTGCTAACCTACATACATATATATACCAATAGACGAGCAGCGGCTCTCACTAGTGATCGCGATTCTCGCCCTAATGCGTCCTGTGACTCTCTCCTTTCTCCCCCTCGTGTTTTTTACGGCCTTGAATAATAAAAATTCAGTAGGAAGGATGACAGTAAAATTTTTTCGCACAAATTTGACAAGAAACCTAAAGGTTTCTTGTATAAACTCGCGTTTAACTCTGATGCTAATTCATTTTCTGCGTACCGATTTCTTGGCAATTAATTTCTTACTCTCGTGGATGACGCACGGTAGCGCCGCCCGGACAAAAAGATCACGAAAAGAGCGAGAGGAGAAATACTGATGCGGCATTCCAACTTCCATCCCATTCCCGATCATTGCGCGCTCTGTGGGATACCGCCGAGTGATACAATGGCCACTAATGATGCTTACTTTGACGCCTGTCGAGCGGTCCTTTCGTGCCATGACCCGGTGACCATCTCTCAACGTCACTTTTAACGGACCTCCGAAAATATTTTTTCTCGCGAGGGCCGTGTCCCTTCCTTTCTCTTTTTCCCTTAAGCGAACGCACTTTCCCATCTTCGGACATGATGTACGACCGACGCTTCCCACGCAAACGTTCTGCCTTGCATGCGCATTGATTTCCCTCTCGGTCGTTGCATCTACTTATCTACTATATCGTGTCGATCTTTCCTATAGTTACGCGCTTTCCTAAAGAACATGGATACCGGGACGAATAATCGTGTCGTTTGAAAACTGTAATATATATACATATATGCTGCATCAGTCTTATGTCGAATGAAACGAGATCCGAAAACAGGAAAATGGGTGTCGCGCTCGTGATCGTTATCGGCGCTAAAGCTCTCTGCTTCCGAGGAATGCGCGCGGCACTTCCTTGAGCGGGGCAAGCTCTTTACGTAATAAACGCACAAGTGCTTTCACTACCGCTGCTCGAATTTAGGCCCGTGAGCATAGGTGCATTGCCCCAGCGAGTTCACTTTCTAGTGGTTGTTAGATCGTCGGATTACAGCGGGTTCGCGCGCTCGCCGTGGGATAATATTTTGTGCGTTCCCTCAACCGGCGTTCGCCAAACGCTTCTTCGTATCACAAGTGAATTTCTCAAATTTTGATATGTTTGTTTTCACAGTATATGTTTGTCGTAAAAATCAAAATCTCGCTTGGCGAAATTGCGTGGTCTCGGGAAAAATAAAATGATCGAAGAAAGCCTCGAAGACTCCTCGATAACATTATTATCTAACGGCTGAGCTTACAAATACAATAATTTCGAGTTGCATGAATTGTGCGCGTAACTCTCTTACGCAAACACATGTGACATTAAAACTGATAACAGTATCATTACGTGTCATTCGTGTTATTAAGTGCACACGGGGAGATATTGTTCCATTAAAAATGCGTCGATACCACGTTATATTTTACGTCACGATTTAATCTATCCTGTTTCATATTATAGATATATGCTGGATATAAATAGTATATGCATCTTGTATGTAGGACATCCTCGCTCTCTGCATAATTGTTGGTAAAGTTTCGCAATCAAATCGCGGGGTTCGATATCGCAGTTAATCGAAATATCCCGGTTACGCGGAAGCGTTCAATTTCGTGATCAATCTCGGACTCCATTTCGCGGTCGCAATTTGTCATCCTATTTAGATTTGGATTTCCGCGCGTGACACACGGAAAAAATCAAAAGTTTCGAGATTTATCATCGGGACATTGCGGATCTCGTTGCTTCGACGTTTCATTCTTCGGAACGTTATACGACATGAATCACGAGTGTGTAACCATCGTAATGCTTTAGAGCGGCAGAGTGCAAAAAGATGAGTTTTCCGCGAAGGAAATCGCTCGGCGTGGCGCGTCCTCTGTAATCAGGAAAATATAAGGGAGGAACGAAGCGCGTTATTAACAGAAAAAGTGAAAGCGACGTATCGTTTTGCGGGCCTACAACTCGTGCGATATATTGTCTTATATTTGCTCCTGCCTTCTCGAACGTCTTTATTAGCAATGTCGGCCGGTAGAAACGAATTACAGCAATCGACGATGGTGCGCAGACACACACGTCAATCGTCCATAAAGTCGCGATTACGCCTAAAGTTATGAAATTCAATTATTCGCTCGGCGAGACTGAAACGTCCGCGCTTCGTGCAATCAACGTTTTAATGAACGAATGCGCGCCACGATGAAGACGGCTGCAAATTGGTCAAGTCACAAAAATGTACCTTAGCGCAGGCATTCGCTTCTGAAAGATTTCGAATTTGAATTACAAATGCTGCCATTATATTTTATATGTCTATTATGTTTCGCTTTTCGGATGTATACCTTCGCTAGTATATCGATGCGTCTCAATTTTTTTTACGGCATACGCGGCGTGATATTAAGATTAATGTGTGATGTATTTCTTTTTCAGAGGTAAATACGCAGCGGTGAGGAGATGCCGCGAGAGATCCAGCGGCAGGCAGTGGGCCGCCAAGTTTCTGAGGAAGCGACGGCGGGCCCAGGAGCTCAGAGCGGAAGCGCTTCACGAGGTCGCCGTGCTGGATGCCGCGGCCCATTGTTCTCGTCTCGTCTCCCTTCATCAGGTCTTTGAAACCAACACCGAGATGGTGCTCGTCCTCGAGCTGTAAGTACAAGGACGTTTCTCAATCGCCTGTATTCCCGGTCGCATCATCTTAAATGTAGCCTTCGAATCGAATGTAAAATAACTTTTATCGTTTGGCGTGCGGTGGCACCATTTATCACGGGTAATAAAAGTTAGTTTATCGTTCAGTTAGATTGTCGCAATGACGAAATAAAACTGTACGATGGACAACGACGATATTGCGTGTAACTTTCTATGTGTCGTAACAGCTGCTAATTATATTTAAAAAGTAGGACAAAAGCGTAAACTCGTGATTTAAGCGTACGTCGCGCTACGATCAGTTGTAAAAATTACCTCGCGCTGATTCGTCCCGACGCGCGGTGGTGCGCTGTGTGCATTTGAATGAATTTATGGAACAAACCGCGCCGCGCGAAAAAGTATATATGCTAAACGTAAATATTATGCAAGTTGTGCGAGACAAGTAATGTTTATTGCGACAGGGCTCCTGGCGGCGAGTTACAAATGATACTCGACCGGGACGAAGTTCCAGAGGAACGGCAAGTCGCCAGATTACTGAAGCAGATTTTGGACGGGATAGCCTTTCTGCATTCCCTGAACGTGGCTCACCTCGACATCAAGGTAAGTGTTTTCAAACACTCGAACTACGTTTATATGGTGAAGGCACAGGCCTAACGCCGCGACTGTCTGGCGAAGGTGTGGCTGTTAACATTCAAAACTGCATGCGTGTCAAAGGATATAAATATATCTACGGTTCAGCGTGCCTTGGTGCTTTCTCTCCGAGAAAAGTATGTTATTCAGTTATAATCAGTTATGCAATTGTTTTTTAGATAATGTTTATACAATTTTTAATTATATTTAAAAATGACTTTCCGGCTTTGAGTTAAAAATGATCGCAACCACATATCTTAAGCAGATAATTCTTGGTTCATTGCTCGTAATAACGTCTATGTGTCACGGTTTTATCGACGATAATAAATTCCTCCAAGTAACGTTCGTTTTTGCGACTGAAAGATTGGGGAATAACCCGCGAAAACGCAACCCGAGATACTCGGTGTGATTCGCCTCTTCGGCATATCTCCAGACGTTAAAAATAACAAGCGAGGCACGATAAACGGGCGAAGATTGTCGCTCGTGCAAATAATTCTTATCTCGTTTTTCCGGCGCGGCGCTCTCGCAGGAGCGCACGAAGAACAGACGTCTTCACCTGAGGCGTCTTTTGGCGCGCGGCAGGTAACTGCGAAATATCACGATGGAAATTCCAATAATATGAAAGAGTTGGCGATTCGTTCGATGCGATAAAGATTATTTTTACGCAGGACGGTATCTCTCTTGAAAGAAGAGATGCACCGGTAGTCCGAGCTTTATCGGTGAAAATATCGCGACGGAGAGAACGAAGAATCGGTTCACCACGCTCTCTCTCTTTCTTTCTTTTTTTCTCTTTTTCCGAAAAGCGTGAATCCGAAGTGATTCTTTATCGTGCCGAATCTCGTGGCGAGCTGTCGCGAGAAAGAAACTCTCTGCCAAGGGAGCGACGACATTTCGGGCGCCTCTGGCAATTTCTCAGCTGCGGGACTACGCGCGTTCCGTGTCGCGGGCCGTACGATCGACCTAAATCGTTATGTAAACGCCTACGTGCACGGCGGTTCTGTCTGCCAAATCGGCTGATCAGGGGCGATTCCTGTGCGCCGACGGTATACACCTTGCGTGACGCGATACGTTTTGCAAGGCAGATAACTTCTCGGCGTCTCCTGCAAGAATAAGATTGGACATCTTCTTGACATGCCTGCCATGTACCTTATTACGTTTTTGCGGAAATATACACCTATCGATTGAGAAACGAGGCAATTGTACGTAATTGATTGTGTTAAATTCAAGAAATGTATTTTGTGAATTGAGAAGTAGGTATATATTTCCTGATGTATATTATTTTTTCAAAACGTGATGAATCAATCAATTGCCGGAAATATTTACTTACTTTGCAAAATACTTTTTAAGTTTGGGGTTTAAGAAATAAAACGAAATAAAGAATATATTAAACCTTCGATGGACAATTGTTTTGTCTGTTAATCTTGGTTAGCAAAACGTGATTCTACTGGTAGAGCTGCGCATGGACATTTTTTCACGCGTGCATTTTCGCACGTGCACACTTTTGCACGTGTACGCATGCAAATTCCGCCGAGAGACAGGGAGAGATAGAGCATTTAAAATCGGTCTTGCGTTACTCACGCCGTTATGTCACCTGAGACACTTCGCGGTGGAAGAAGTGAAAATAGATCGGGCGCGTATCGGGCGCGCCGTGCACTTACTTACCAATGATTCATCTAATCCTACGCGTCTCTCCCTTCAACGTTTCTGAATTCCGTCGTAATCGTCGATCCCGCGACTCACACCGGCGCGCGACACTTCTTTTTCACGCGGGGTAGATCGACGAGACATTCTATTGAGGGATCGATGACATGCGCGCGAACACGTGCGCGGCCTACGAAACGATGCAACGCCACGAAACGACGATGGAATGCCCGCCACGAAATGGGCGGGAATGGGACGTTTCTGTCCCACGAAATATTTTTGTATGCGGCGTCGAGGGCGTCCGTACGAAAATAGCCCCTCGTATATTTCGCCGCTGTTCGTTTCGACGACGACGCCGACGTGACGTTTCGCGTCAAGTTCCCGAATCTCTTCCTGCACGATTTTCCGTGGGACTAAAAATAATTTTTCGTTGCGGCAGAATCCCCATTCAAGCGGCGTGATGTTTCATAAAAATCGCGTAATTGAGACGGGGTCTCGCTTAATCTCCGGCTGGTGGATTCGGTGGCCGGGAATAACTGGTTCGCGACGCGACGCCGAGTGCCGATGATCCATAAAGAATCGCAATTGAGCCGAAGACCCGTTTAATATTTTCAAGCGGATGATTCTCGCGGGGCTAAAAATAACTTGTTTATCGCGCCTGGGTCCCATTGTGGCGACGATCAGAAATAAATCCCATTTTAACTTTCGTAACGCCTCGTCATCTTATTATTGTATGCGTCGCGTGTCGCCCGCCGAAAATAAGAAGGCGACGAGCGCAATGTTAATTCCATCTCCGATCGGCGCGGCCGCGGTCGGATTCGCGAGGGAGGCTTGCGACGACGCGACGACGATGAGCGCAACTTGGACGATGAGCTTTATTCGAGCGTGTCACGCCGGCCCCAGCTGACAACCAGTCTTTCCTATTTAGCGGCGAAGATTTGCAATTTGCGATTTGCACACCGCATTCGCGTGCACGCGTAGGTATACGAAGTACGTGTTTATCGATTATCGGCGTGATCGATATGGGTGAGCCAAGGTAAGCGAGTTGTATTAATAATGTTCCGGCTGGGAGCGACATGCACAAGCCAGGCTCTCGCGCGCATTTCAGACTCCCAGGTCCCAGGCTCTCTCGGTCTTAAATCTCCTTTTTAACATGGCTCGCGTAACGACGATGGCAGTTATACAATCCAATTACTTAGCTTTTGCGAATTCGCATTAATCGCGTCGATTCATCGTCAATCAATACGTCTTTCGTCGTTTTACAAGAATGTACAAGATTTATAGGATCGTAACACCAGCGCCATCGATTATTTCATAATTGAATCTTTTTCAAAATTGCGGAAATATCACACCGACATATCGCACGTTTATATCGACCTTCATGGCATCTTATCGATCCTGTACCGTCGCGATAAAGCCGACAATTACGCATTGGAACGAAGTCATCCTGATATCGCGATGTTTTCAAATCGATAAGATAATTTCACGCCCGAATGATACGGGTACAACGTACAACTACGCAATTTCAGCAATTTCGTCGTTATAAACAATTCCGTGGATTTTTTCACTATCGAGACTCTAAGGATTAGCTATACAAAAGCGACATTTTCGAATCGTGAGTTCCATAAGGAACGGCGACTAATTAACTCGAACGGGATAGGAACAATACGATCTCTCTCGGCGGCTAGCAGTGAATCATCGTTATTCAGATGTGCTCCGCGGCGTTTTCGATTCATTGACCCGCGAGAGCGAACGGCGTTTATTTTTCGCGCGGCCATTCAAGAACGCCGAGAAAAATAAGCCGACGAGACTTCGACGGCTGATATGCCTTGGAAACCGGCCAAGGCGTGCATCGGCTTTGCATATTGCGAAAATACATGTCGCGGCGAATCGCGGTGCTTTTGTTCATATCGACGTGTGTGACGGCGCAGCAAAGCAGATGCGCGGTGAAATTCTTTTAAAAGCGCGTTGTTGCACCGTTGGTGCACAGCAAATATACAAGGAGATGGATGGCAGTTTTTATGGATGTAGCTTCGAGAAGCGATATTTATCCTCGTTTGTCCATGAGCTCGCGCAACCGTTCTCGCAACGAAATGCAATTTTGTGAAATTTTTACGATAAGATCGCGTTTCGAGACGCATTTCAACTATTGTGAAACAAATACTTGAACTGTCTTTTCTTTCTTCTATTCGTATTGTCATTTATCAATGACATTTAAATCCTTTATAACAATCACTGTATAATGAATTATCTTTCACGCGAACTTAATTTTTTCTAGCGGAATATTTATCTCCAAACAAATCCTGCATTTAACGGGAAAAAAAAATTTGATATTTATGTTATTACGTGCGCGAAACGTAAGACGCTCGGGCTGCTAGCGCCGACCGAGAAAGGCAATTGGCCGACGAATAAGTTAACGAGCGCATTCGGGTTCATCCTAAAAATAACGCCGTGCCACGAATTCGCGCGATATGCCGCGGCCAAATATAGATTTCGCGGTTATGAATGGAAAAATGCACGCGAATTCCTTGGCCGGCGTCCAAAGGGGCCTTCTTGGACGGCGGCCACGAACTTTCGGGCGCCGGTGTTCTAAAGCCGGCCTCACACCGTGCTAGTTCACCGTGCCTCGAAACGGAGCAGCTATATTCGTCGACGCGCGACGCGCCGGAGAAAAGTCGCGCGAGCGCGAGAACACACCATCGTCGTGCGCGACGAAATAACTCGGCGTCCGCCGGCCGTGCAAATTCGAGAATTTGCACGACGAAGCCGTGTTAATTGCGGCCTCTCCATATGTTCCCGCGCTTTCCCAGAGCCGCGGACCGATCCCTGATGCTCCGTTTTGCATTCCGCCGCGATGAGTTGGCTCCAAACGTTACTCACGCACATCCATCACGTAGGGAACGTTGGCAAATATTAATTAGGGGAACGGAGACGCGTAGTCACGTAGACAAATGAAACGAAAGAGCCGTACTATAATTTGTGCGTTTTTACATCTTAATTTTATTTTGTATATAAAGAGGAAAAAAAGACGTAAGAATTTGCACTTTTATCTGTTTGAAATACCGCAATGCCGTCAATGCCGACGACTTTTTTGAAGATTTTTTTTTGTTTTCGAGAGAACTGCGCGTGTGCGTTTGTGAGAAAATTGTCATTCCCGTTATCCGTCTGCACGATCCATTCTGCGGCTTATCCTTTGCCGGCGGCCGTTTCTAGCTGCGGAATGCCCGCTCGTCGATTCGAGAACAGACAAGAGCGGTCAGTCCGTGCTGAGGGCACTATCAAACGGGCAGTTTGCAAAAATAGGAAATATGGCTCGTGCATTTGCCCGT